ATTGTGCGACGAACTCACGTCGCGATTCTGGATGGAGATTTTTTACACGGAGGAAGTTTTATCGCCAATATTACCGTAGAATTTTGTATCCGAGTAACATTCTTTATTTAATAACGACAATAATAATAGCAATTAATAATAGCAGCTTTATTCGGCAGCTTTATAATAATAATTATAATATCAATCATGCGATAATCGTTATATATATTAATATTCAGTCAAAGACAAAATCCTTCTTTTTCAAACAAGTCGCATTGTTATTTCAGAAAAAATAAAGACTCACCGCACAAAATGCAGACAAAAAAAAACACAACGCTATGATTCTTCCTGCCATGTTTCTTTTTCTCGTCCACTCTCGTTTGCTCTCACCGAGACGTCTGGTTGACAAAACCAGATTATTTAACAATTGTCATAGAACGTTTGTTTGCTTATATACCTTGTAAATGACTAATTTATGTTTTCATCGCAAACTGTCTTGAACAAGAGCGGCAGGGAGGGCGACATTTCCTTAAACGTCACATATATTTTGAGATATCCGTATCGCAACGAATGGATTTTTCTTCTCTGTCGATTCTCTTGTTAAAATAACATGCCGTGCAAATGAGCGTGAGTAATAACTTACGATATTTAAATATCGCAACAAAGTGCACCGTTTTCGCTGTGCAATCCTCTCGTCGAGAACACTGTCACGTGTTCTCGTTCGCGCATTCGCATTCGATATATATTCGAATAAGTAAATGCAATAATCAAAAATGACCGCGATTCATTCTTGGAGAATCCTCGTTTCTCTGCGAAGGATACATCGGAATGTATCTCGTGTGCAGATGGAACACATAGAAAAATATTATCGCACTGCTTATGTTGTAATCCAAAATAAACTGTATTCGCGACGTATTTCTCCGACGCGTGAAACATTTTGGAGGTTAACGGGGAAACATAAAACATTTATTTACTCACAATAACAGTGTCTTTGAGCACCAGGAAAAGAAACCTACTCGTGATACATCCAACTCACAACTGACCGATCAACGCTGACGCCTAGTATATATTAACAAAATTATAGCAATTGACCTATCCCCTATGCCCATCTATCCCGGACTTACCCTATTTATCTGATGAATGTTGTGTATATGTTCTTGTGTATAATTGGCGTGCGAGACTTTATCCCATTTCCTGTCAAAAAAGTAATAATAATAATCAAACAGTAATGTCGTCCGAAAGTCTGTTACAACTAGATGATATCTTTGTGACAGTAATATTACCATATAACAGTAATACTATCATCGCGTTTCGGAGGAAACGAAATGTATATTTACAATTAATTTTAAACGCGTGTGATAATGTTTCGATTATGACTTTATAAGCGCGTAATAATGTTACAGCTTGAAAATAACTTTGATACACTGTAACATCACTGTGTTACATTAGCCCGATTAGATAATTTGAGCTTCTCGATGCTTGTCCTCGTGACTCTCCTCGCCCCCGCATCGAGTGTGTGAGATTACAGCCGTGGTTGAACGAGACCGTGGTTGCGTTTACAATTGCGTTAAATATTGTCGGGAAAAGAAGCATACTTGCAGTACCGAACCTCCTCAGTCGCATTTTGCACGCAGCAACTATTATTATTGTTAATCTTTTCATTTAGTTTCACATCCAGTTCTTTGTTCCAGTTTTATTTAACTTTTTTATTTATCATTCTTCCGTTTGATGTGTGCTATTCTAACAACTGAGGGCTATCGTTAAGAAATTGTTTCTTTGCAGGAAAAATTCTACTAACAATCTAACGCTGCATTATTAGAAAGTATGGTAAAATAAAAGAAATATCGTATAAAGGTATAAGGGAAAACTATGTGAGATCAATTCTACCGATAGTCTATTTCCGCGATGGAGAGTATCTGAACGAAAAGAACTGAAATACCCTCCCCATGTGGCGTTCCTTTATTTGCAGGATGATTTATCGTGGGACGATTTGTCCCAGGATAAACCGAAAAGGTACTTTTGATCCTTTTTGAGAACCAACAATACGTAACGTCCTTTCTCACGCCGAGGCGGAAAAAATACCGTTGTGTTCACTAACGGTATCGTCTCGATCTGAAAATCTATCTTATTTTTCCAACCTTCCTCTTTAGCACTTTAATTACCATAATAATAACCACGACGGTCACTTTCCGTGGGACACGCGAGTTCTCACGATGAGCTGCGCGGATGCTCGCTCCTTGTATTCTGATCCTCGCAACGTTTTCGCAACGAGGTCGTCTAATTCTCTCGTGCGACTTGTATTTTATAAATATGTTCGGTTTTATTCATCCAAGCTATAACCTTTGACCTTTTAAGCGCGAAGCATTTTGGAGCTGAACGATCGTTAAGAATGGGATACTTTGAGCTGCCGTAAATCGATCGATAAGAGAAATAATTTCTTGAAAAATTAAGATGTATTTATTAGGCGCTAATAAATTGATGTACATATTTTCACGCTGTGAAATTTTTCTTTTTTAACCGAGGAAATGTACATTTCCTTAAAACCACTTTTCTTAAAAGTGACGATGTATTCTGTTCAAATGAGAGGATTTAGTTAGATTGATATAAATATATTATTAGCTCTCTCTCTCTCTCTCTCTCTCTCTCTCTCTCTCTCTCTCTTCCACTGAATAAATACCTATTTTTACTAGTTCTCTCAGTGTACACATATGCATCCACAGTCCACGGCGATGACATTTACCAGACGCATGTATGCGTCCATAGCATTCAAAAGGTTAATCTTCTCTTTATCAATTTATGTCTTTATCGAACAATAGAGCTAATCGCGGACAGGTGATGATCACTTATATCTTCGCACGCGAGGACTCCTACTACCGACTTTACTCGTACACGCGAAGGAAATGTCGTAGTAAAAATTACGTTAAAATTATCTTCCTTTTCCACGATATTTTTAAATTGATCATATCGATACTGTAGCTTGAATTACTGTAGAAATAGTAAACAACAAAGAAAACAAGAAATTAAATGAAAAATTCGAGTAATTGCAAAATTATGTGATAAAAAGCCAAATATGTGCGTAACATTTTTAAACAAACATACGATAATTTCGACCATATTTCAAGAACCTTTAGATTGCATTTATTGCTGCATTTTTACTGCAATATTTTTCCCGTGTAAAATTCGGAAAAATGCGGTGTGCTATTTGGTCTCTTTGCATCTCGCCATAGTGCGATGCATATATAGGGTGTATCTGGCGATAACACGTAAAACTCTCATATGTATGTGTAAATTAAATCAACTGAACTGAATAAAGAATTCCTTTATCATTTTGCGAACAATTACATAAAACGTCGAGTTACTAATAAAAACATTGATACGTAATCGTGCGTAGTCGTTCACGGATATAATCTAGAACTAATTCACTCGAAATTTCACGTGTTTGTTCGCAAAATCATGTAAACGAATTCTATGTTCAATTTGACCGAATCTACATGTACACGAGAGCTTCGTACATTACCATCAGATATCCTGTAGATGCGGCGAGGGCAGCCTACGGCATGGCGCGGTCATTTAGAAGCCGCCATAGCCGCCGCGAAGACGTAGTGCTAACGAACGTTCGGCGTGTATCGAGCAGGAGCTCGAGTTTGCTCAACAATTAGCCGGCCGTGGCATACCGCGAGCGGAGAGAATTCACGAGCGGTGCGCGTTTGCATTCAGCGAGACTCGCATATCCGCGTGTACATCGTGCCGGACGGCGGGGACCACGCGTCTGTCGTTTCCTCCTGCCGCCCTTCCCTCCTTTTCACGGGCGCGAGCGGAACCGCGGATAAAAGTCGCGGACTCAGCCGCGCGCGCACATACGAGTTTGTTGACCCGAATTTTTCGCGTCTCGAGAAGGCCCCGTCAAGGCCTCCCCCGTCTTGCCTCATCTCGCATCATCCTGCGCGATCCTGCGTCTCCCAAGGTCGTGCGAGAGGCTCTTCGTCGGTTGCAGGGTTGCGAGACACGGAGGGCGGAAAAAGCGGGAGGAAACCGAGTGCTTTTTGGTACGAGTCCTTTTCGGCCAGCAGTCCATGTAACTTTCCCTTCAGAGCGGGTACGTGAAAAGTTTCACGTTTTCGTTATTTCGGAAAGTTGCGCGATCGCTAAAGTCGTCGGAAACGTGAAATTTCCACGTTTCCGCTCTCAGGGAAAAGTTACACTGATCGTTACCCTGAGGAGCGTTTCGATTTGTGTGGACGGTGTTTGCATAAAAGAAGCGAAAAATCGCGACGATACGGGACGAGCGGATATACACACACACACACACACACACACACATGTGTGCAAGTAACTTTTTAGCCTCGTCGCCCTCCTCTCGGAGAGTTAGATGTACGTTTTTCCACTTCCATTTCCACCGTTCCTGCACATGAAGCAAAGTAAAGCGACACGGTTACCCTGGTGTGTCCCACCTGCGATTTATTTCGAGGTACAAGCATCGCTCGAAAGGACGCGCACGTAGGACGTGCGGCTGACGCCGCGCGACGGGAAGTCGCGATTTTATTTTACGCCGGAAATTACGCCAGTGAGACACGCCGGCGCGCGGACGTTGTAACTCGAGCCGGTAGGTCGTTGTAGATCATACGTTTTAACCCTGAAGGACGCGTATCGCGAATTCGCGACACCGCTCGTACGCACACCGAGAAACGGCGAGTACAGCAGGAAGTACGAATGTTTGGAGAGAGAAGCCAAGTATACCTCTCACCGTAATTCCTCAACCCTTCCCTCGTCTAGCCGATTGTCTTATGCTTGAAATATAAAAGAATACTTTTTTAAGAACTAATTTTGTGTGTATGTATGTGCGTATTAAGAGATAGCGCGTCATATATGATGCACTCGAAAAATTCCTTTTCGTGGGAATTAATTTCTTACAGATTATTTTTATTCAATTATTATTACAGATATAAGGGAGATAATGTGATATATCTAAATTTCATACAAAAATATAAATAGATAAATACTTCTATTCTCTCTTAGACTCTAAAAATAAACTAAATTTGTTTAAGAGAAATTAATTTTTTCGTGAATAATCATTGTGATAAGCAATGATGATCATCGCACTGATACAAGAAAGAATGCAAGGGTATCATACGTGATGAATTGACAAGGTCAAAGATTAAGGTACGATATCGAAAGAATCAAGTAAATTAGCAATTATTAAGTAAACTCCATTTTTCTTGTCGTCCTGTCGTCACGTTTTTGATTGCCTCTTCAACGTCTTCGCTCGCAAGCATAAGTCGTCCTTCGCACGCCAAATGTTGGCGCCGCGTTGGCGAATAGCTATCCAATCTATGCAAGATAGACAGCGTGTTAAAAGCATACATTACTGTCTACGATCTCGTAATGATCATTTCGTACCGTTATTCTCGGTCAAGGTCCTCCCGCCGAGATCGAATTGGAAATATGCCGTTCGCCGCGCCGATCGGATTCAACGTTCGTGGACCAACGACCTGATCGATTCATCTTTCTCTCTCTCTCTCTCTCTTTCTCTCTTTCTCTTCCTCTTACTCTCGTCGCTTGTAAACAACCGCACGGGAACGGGACGATTTTGTGAATAATCGGGTGATTAGTGTGCGAGATTTCTCGCTGAACAGCCCGGATTTACATGAACATTTACAGAACCTGGAATTCTGGCGCAATCGATGAGCCTCACGGAATAATTTCGTCTGTAAGAAAAAAACTTATTAAATCTTCAGACGGTCGTATATTGCGTAAACCAAGAGACGACAAGCACGTCTCTTCCTCGTCTCTACATTCGAGTCTCTTGAAGCTCACCTTGGGACCAAAATTCGTCGTCTCTCCGTCACGTGAAAAATCCGAATCGAAGGAGAGACTCACTTCGTGCAATTGAATTTTTCATCGGCCAAAGACCAGACGAAAATTCCCTCTTAGCCACAGAAAGACTCCTGCGGGAGCTCCTGCTCAAATGTCCTTTGTTATCTCAACATCCAGCTGGCCAGCTGATATTAAAAATATCCCGATTATTAAATATTTTTCATTCATCGATGTGTGTGTTCCCCGCAAGACATATCTTTTGACAAACTATATTTTCAATTTTTGTTCTTCTTTTCTTCCGAAAATTTATTCAAGTTGTTCAATTTTCAAAGCTGACAGCCCCCTAATGTCAGCAGCAGCATTAGGGATGAACGCTCGGTCGCGATAACAGAGACGTCATCCCGACTTTTCACCTGCTCCTCCACTCGGTTCGCTCGCGCGGGCCGAGACTTTTCCCCAACGCGATATTTCATAAGCGACGCGAGCGAGAACGACTTCTCCGAAGAGCGGCCGGTGCGGCCGCGGATTACGTAAAACGAGGTATTTCCCGTGTCGCGCGGACACGTGGACGCGCGGTGCGTAAAGACGCGTTTACGCGCCGCGTTTCGAAGCCGTTTCACCGGTGAACCGACCGCGATGATTGCTGCAGTGTGTCGGTACGCTACCGCGTCGTGTAACTTTAGCAACAAAGAGTCTAGGAAGAGAGAGAGAGAGAGAGAGAGAGAGAGAGAGAGAGAGAGAGAGAGAGAGAGAGAGAGAGAGAGAGAGAGAGTGAGAGCGAAGGAGAGCCCGCACGCGAGTACCGTTTCGCGCGTTTGACACGCGCTCGCTCGCGCGGCGCGAAGAAATCCGTGCGCCGGGATACGAGCGCGCGGCGCTCGTGAGGTCGTGTGAGGTCGTACCACACGGTGGAGGGATATGAGCGCGAGCGAATAGGTTGAGGGTCGTGAGTGGCCGTTGACCCTGCCTGTGTATGCCGCCGGGCGGCGGCGAGCGCGCGTACGAACGCGAGCGCGCGCCTAGACGGGCCGGAATCCACATTGGTAATAGCTTCTCTAGTTTACCAGCCTGTCTCTCGTAAAAGGAGATATTTATGGCCCTGCCTGTGGCCTGCCGGCGTAAAGGTCCTTCCGCGACTCGCCCCTCCTCCTCTCTCTCTCTCTCTCTCTCTCTCTCTCTCTCTCTCGGTTCCGAGCGCGCGCGGCAGGTGCATCGTCCTTAATTAACGGCTAAATCGCGCTTCGAGGTCGCTCGCACGTGCAACGTAGGCCTCGAGCCCTATTCTGGCCCCACGGCGAACGTTAGGTATGCTCTCTTCATTCCGAGTCTCGTCTTTCTTGCATGAGCTTCGCGTCCACGTGGGAAAAGTAATTCCGTTAGCGTAACTCGAGTCTTCGTCGTTTCGGGAGAGAGGAGAGACCGAGAGGAAACTCGGTTGTGGGGGCGTAGAGAGATTCTCGCCGGGGGATTTCCTACTTAATGGAGACTTTTTTTCCGTCGTTTTGTGTATGCCAAGCGGTGTTTAAAGTGTCAGTATACTAATTAATTATATTCATCGTTCAGCGAAGTTTGGAAATTTCTCTCGCAGCTTGGCGATCTCCAATGTGTTAACATGCTTTTCATCTTTCACCCGAATGTGTTGGTATGCTGATCGATTAGATTTATTATTCAACCTCGAGGAATTCCTTTCGCATTCCGGCTGTGAGAGCACTCGTGTCCGCCAGTCAATCTGTATTAACATCCATTTTTCCGTCTTTTGCCTCGGCATGTTAATATCGCCAGTTAATTATATTCATTATTCAGCGAAGCTCACGGTTTATTCCTGCGAGAAAAAGAGCCGCGCGAGTCGAGACTCGCATGGGACGGAGAATTCGCGCTCTAGCTACGAGATCACTCGCGGCAGTCACATGCGTTACAATGCTTCTCATCGCGGCTGATATCACGTACTGTGCAATGATAACGATTGACGGAGCTGAGGTGTTCGACAGACGTCACGATTTTCCAGAAGCCCGATTGCGTTCGTTGCCGGCCGCTATGAATCGCAAGCGATAATCATCTCTCGTTGCAGTATCCGTCCACCGTGTCGTCAGAGCTTCTGCCCGATCACGGCAAGCTGAAGAATGATCTGGACTGGGCACCACCGGGAACCCTGCCGGCGAACGCGGATATTTCAGCCGCGGCGAGGGATCTCCTGAAACGGCTTCTACAACCGGAACCTCGCCTGAGGCTTCGTACGTTGCTGAGTCTCCAGCGAATCGCCTTCTACATGGGCCACGACCTTCAGAGTTACATGTTGAAAAAGGCAAAGACAGTGCATTTTTTATGAAATTATGAAAGAATTCTTGATGTTTCGCAGCCACACAGGGTCGCAGAGTTGAGCAACTGAACGCCGGATTGAGCGATTTAAGTAACAAACGCGAAGGATTTTAGATATATGTATTCGATTTCGAACTTGAAGCTCTTCCGGCAACAAGAATCGTTTTATTTAAATTTATGATCAAGAGTCTTACTCTTTTCGATTCTCTCGTTAAGATTGACATTCACGCACTCAACGTCCAGCGACGGCTAGCTTGTATTTCTTGTTGTTTATCTCATTGCTTACCTTCAAAGCCTTCGGTACCTCTCTTCGAGTGTTTCAGCATATCGCAGTAGAGAATTCCTAGCGGTTTGTTTAGAACAATTGTAGATTTTTCCTAAAAAATGTATAGTTGAGGGGAATGATGACTTCGTTTTGTAATCAGAGCTGTTTATCATTTTTATTACTTGTATAGGAATCGCCGTTCCGGCTTTTGGGAACGAGTAACCAACGAGAAAGGCGGCGACGACGAGCGGAGGATCCATTTTCGGATTTCGATTCCTTTCCTGGCGATAATCCCACGCGGAGGACGAGCGATCAATGATCTCACACATGATTCTAGCACTTTTGAATTTGCGAGTGTGCGCAATGCTTGGAGCCGCGACATGCGGGAAATTATTTTTGATATTCGCAATGTTTAGTGCGCCACGCAATCGTTGAATTTTATATATTCTACTTGATAAGCGAACTCGAGATAAAATGACGAACGAGAGATTTGACATCTAATCGATTTCTCGATGCATTGACTTTTTTCTAGGTGACAATAATGTAATTAAAATAACATGTTGAACGAAAGCGCCCGTTGTTTTCTTTCTTCGCTCAATTTCCATCTTCGGAGCAGCTTCTCTCTTCCCCTTCCCCCCGCGAGTCAGTCCATTGTCTCGATTTACGATTTCCTCGTTATTCCTCACGATTAAATTAAGTGGCTGTTTTCGGAGATTCAATTAAGATAGGAATATTATTGGCAAACCAATTGAACGATGTTAATGGAATGGACCGATAATTGGATCCCTATTGGTTTACCACATCGTAAACAAAGAAAGATTACCCTATCGTATCTCTTCTTTCGTTCTTGTGTATTTGTACTCGTTTCGCGAGGATCGTCCAAGTGGCTGAAAGGGAAGCGTCAAGTAAAGGTGAATTCTCCGTTTGATCTCAGTTTACAAAAGTTTTAATTTTTTTAAGAATAGTTAACAGTATTTTTTTTTGTTACAGTATCTCGTCGATAATACAATAAATTGCGATAATCGTAATGCGTACAAACTAACAACGAAACGAAAACGGGTCTGGATCAGAAACGCATTTCGTCTTCCGAAATCAATGCGAGAACAACGTGCTTGCTTTACACCTATTTCTTTCTCTCTCCCTCCCTTCCTCTCTCTCTCTCTCTCTCTCTCTCTCTCTCTCTCTCTCTTCCTTCCTTTCTTTCTCTCTTTCTATATCAGAGTGAATCTCATCATTTCCCCACTTCTCCCTCCGGTTTTCCATTGCATCTAGATTTTTCATCATCGTATCAAGGGGGCAGCTCCTCTCTCGAGAGTGCAATTAATTCAAGTTTACCGTGTAATAATTATATATGTATATATATACATTATTATTCTTACATATAGAAGGTCTTTCGGTTTCGATATATGATACAATTTACGCTCCCAGATTACGTCCCGTGCAACGCGTCAGCGATCGATCGCTGGCCGAATGTTTCCGAACCGGGCGACGCCGAGGAGCGTTGAAAAGAGAAGCGGAAACGCCGACAGACAGACACAGACAAACAGACAGACAGAATGACGAAATGAAAAGTGGGAAGCAAACAAGAAATTCGTGTGATGGCGCGCGATAATAAACGTCCCTCGGAAACAATGCGAACGTAAAAAGTATCAATCGCGTAAGCGGGCGGTTCGGTCCCGCGCGCTTCCTTCCGCATTGTTCCTGACGAACGTCCGTCCGCGGCCGACACCTCGACGTGAACGACACGTCTGCCGCGCCTCCTAAATGCACGACGAAAAAAGCGGTCGGGACGTTGCTTCGTCCCACGAAGGAGGATCGGCTCTCGGTGCTCCCGAGAGCGATTTCTCGGCGTGCGCACGTACGCGATCGACGGGAAACGAGAATCAAATTTACAAGCATCGTCTCTCTCTCTCTTTCTCTCTCCCCCTCTCTCTTTCTCTTTTTCTCTCGCACACGCACACACACACACACACACACACACACACACACACACACACACACACACACACACATAGAACAGCAAATCGATCGCGTATCCGCGGTGATTCAACAGCGATCGCAAGGCCGCGCGCGTGCGCGGGCGCTAATTACCGAGGAGCGCGGTAATCATCCGCGACGAACGGAACGGAACTCGAATTACGTCTAATTTTAACTGCCTCCAGCCCGCGTGGCGGAGAGTCGTTTTGGTAAAAATCTCTGGGCTCGCCCTCGCGCCGGGTGCTCGGGGCGACCGTGTGATGGGCTCCGCCCCTGGGGGCTCTTTTTCTCTCGAAGGTGACGATGGCGACGACGACGATACTGTTACCGATCTTTTCGTTGTCTCCCCGTCTTGATGAATTTCTGCCCGCCCGGCGGACGCCCGTAGCGCGGCGAGTATCCTCGCGCGAGAGCACCCTAAGCCTAGTGTGGCGGTCGCACGAGCCGGGGGGCGCCTCCGCCGCGGGGGGGGGAGGGAAGCCGGCCGGCTCGCGCCGCCGCCGCTCGACGCGTTCTTCTCTCGCGCCCGTCCTTAAAACACTACTATTCCTTATTGTTGTTAGTTGCGTTACCGTTACAGTGTTGCTCTATCGTAAGATATTATGATACAAGTAAAATCGTCCGTTTGCACGGCCCAGCGATTATGACAAGTTCCGCCTTTCCCTCTTCTGCTGCTTCCATCCTCCCCCTTCTGCTCTTCCTCCCCTCCTGCTATGTTGCTTTTTTACAACCTGATTCTACTGCAAATATCGCACGCCCCCTCCCTCCTCCCGTGATTGTGAATCCCCAGCATCCTGCGAGTTGTCGTCGCAGACTCGTCCCGACGTTTTCGCGCGTCCTCCATGGAATTTGGGGGATCCATTAATCTTTTCATTAATCAACGGAGCGAAGCGTCTCGCGGTTCTCTCGCGGAAATTTCAGAGAACCATCCGATGAATCTACCTCTCTTTCTCTTTCGTCCGGAGACGCCACGTGGACACCCGCGAATGTCGGTTCTTTTCACGGAACCAACGACCCGTCTCGTCCGCGCGGAACACGAAGAAGGAACGGCTCAGGCGTGCACGTCAACGTTCGCGCTGTTCGAATAGGATACGAGAACGAGAACGAGACAGGGAAAGAGAGAAAGAGAGACAGAGACAGAGAGAAAGAGAGAGAGAGAGAGAGAGAGAGAGAGAGAGAGAGAGAGAGAGAGAGAGAGAGAGAGAGAGAAAGAAAGAAAGAGAGTGTGTCGCGTACGCGCGTGTATGTCAAATGCGGACGATAATATTATTACATTTAGATGAGACGACAAATATTATACAAAGTAGCTATATATATATATATATATGTATATATATATACATATACCGTGAGAGGTGGATGATTAGCGCACTCGAGCCGTTCCGCGCATCCGACTTTTCGCGATTGTTCGTCTCGCCGTTCGTTCGTTCGTTGGTTCGACTGATCAATCGGTCGATTGCTACGGCGAAACCATCGCGACGAGCGTGCGTGCAATCTCACCCTTCTGTTGACCCTCCCACGCGATGCGCGACCCCGACGACTCGGCGCGACGGAGAGAATGTCCAAAAGTAATGTTTCCGATTTCACTCTTCTCTTTTCTCCTCGTTCCTTTTCTTTTTTGTACACAAAATACCGACTATCTGTGCTGGAAAATGCACATGCTTGTACGCGTTGTATATATCTATGCATATGTATTATATATATATATATATATACATATATATACACATACATATACATGGTGCATTGTTTTTTTTTCTGTTGTATTAGAGCGCCGTCATCTAAAAATTAGTATTTATAAATATTTCATCCCGTATACATCTTGCATAATATCGTGTGGCGTGTAGCGGAGTAGGCTTCCTCCTCCCTCTCTTTCTCTCTCTCTCTCTCTCTCTTATCACGGTGTGTTTTACAATATATATTTATATATATATATGCGCGGGTATGTATAATATATATATTTATATTTATATATATTATATTAATATGTACAGAAAATCTTGTTATTAGACGTATGTTCCGCGTGTTGTCGATTTTTAGTTTTCTTGCTTTTGTTCCACACTCAGAGAGTGGACGCTTCGAACAGATGTGTTTGGAGGTGGGCGAAGCTGCCTTCGAGAACGTCGTTGCCGACATCGATATATTGCTCTACCTTCTCGGTGAAAGAAACAGCCGTTGCTTTATAATCGCGCGTGATGCGTTCTGCTCGGTTACGATATCTCGGATTTTCGGCTGTCGATGAGCCGAAATCTCCGACCGATCACGCGAGTGATTTTCATACACGCAGTCTATATCCTCGTTTGTGGAATTTGACATTTCTCCAAAGTAAAATCCGACATTGAGAGACCAATCGCGCGACTGGAAAAACGACGATTCGCCGCCAGGGGAGAATCGAGACGATTCTTCAACGTTGAGCATCATTGCCGCTACTTGCACTCCGGCACCGCGCAACTGCCATGATTGTCCACGAGTGTTCACGGCTGGTGAAAGAGATGATGCGCTCGGGTGTATTAAAATATACTCTGTAGAAAGACGTTCAGAGAGAGACAGAGGGACGTTCTCGAACGTAGCTCTCGAAGGAAAGGACTCGGCAGAGACGCTCCATTCACAGATCTCGACCACTCTCTACCTAAAATATTTGTTCGTAATCTCTTTCTCTCGTGTCATTCACACATAGGAGCGTACACACACACACACACACACATACACATGCATGCACATACACACCGCCCCAGACAATCCGGAAATGGATATATTTGTTCGACTACACGGTAGCCACAGCGCTCGACCAATGGAACGAGAGAGACACTTTAAATCTCCCTGCTCATTTTTGTTTTTCTTATATCGTTCCTTATGACGTGCTTCTTCGTGGTATTCCCGAAGGTCTTTGTTCTGTTTACCTCCGACGACCTCGAAGTTGACGAATTAATATCGAACAGCTGAGTTCACCGACGGGTTAAGAGAAAGATCGACACACCGATCCTCTCACCCCATTGGACGATCGTTAAAAACTAGGAGGATTCTAAACGAGGAGAGGAAAGTAGTAGACTCTCGACCGCGACTTCTTCCGTATCTCTTTCTCCCTTCTTTGTTTGTCTTCTCTTCTTCTATTCACCGCGCGAGATCGTAACTCGCATCTTTGTTCTTTATTTCGCGTCTCTCTCTCTCTCTCTCTCTCTTTTTTCTTTCATATCTTCCTGAAAAAACATTTTTTGGTTTAGCTCGTCGTTCTCCAAAACAAGGAAGAACCACTGACCATTTTTTCTGGCACGTCTTCTCTCTTTTTCTCTTTCCCTCTCTCTTGTTGCGTCAATAGGACGTGAGGAGGAGGAGGAAGAGGAGGAGGAGGAGGAGGAGGAGAAGAAGGAGAAGGAGGGTCGGAAATTTCGCACAACTTGGGAATGGACAAGCAGGGGTGGGATGCGAGAAGCTTTCTTCCAAGGATAAGCGTACAAAAGACATCGCACATCGAGGCACGTGTCTTCCTCTCGTCTTTTCCGTATTTTCCGTTTCTCTCTTAATTCTCCCTCCGATTATCATCGCCTTCGTCGTCGGATTTGATTCCTTCGATCAGCTATCACACGAGTCTAGATACAAATTCGCGCGCAACGTGGGCGATCGATTCGCAAACGAGTGTCTCGTCTTCCCTCATCTTCTATCCTCCTGACAAGAACAACGGGCCGAACGAGTCGAGAATACTAAAAGCCGGTCGCGCCGAACGCCGGTTTGGCGCGCTAACTCTGCCTAATTCGACTGTTTTCTTCTTTCTTTCCTCTGTCTGTATTATAGAGGTATAATTATAGACTATAATAGATAGGTAATTATAGACTATATTATAGACTATAATTTAGACAGCGAAAACGTATCTAACCCAGCGGACTGTTTGCGCGAGAGAACGGAACACGATCGACGTCGGCGTTCCGGGTCCCGCGAGGACACAATAAATCAATCCGACTCGCGACGTTTGATTTGAGCGATGCGCTGTTTGGAAGATGACGACTGAAAAAATCAAACGTGAGTGGCTTTCGCTCGGATATTCACCGATCTCCATGGCGTGTTATCGGTCCGCTATCTTTTCCGCTACGATTTGCATCTTAACGTGTTTTTTAAATCCCTCTTCCTCCCACGCATCTCTCCACTCACTTTGCGGTAAAATGTATTTCCCGCAGTACGAAACATAAGAAGACATTCGATATCGTACTTGTGAAAAATGCAATTTAACGATGACTGCGAGAGAACAACACTTGATATTTATGCTTCGACAAAACACGGAATAACGACGGACGACTTGTTCTTTTTCTCTCTCTTTCTCTCTCTCTCTCTCTCTCTCTTTCTCTTGAATGAATTTCGTTAACATTGCCGTGTTTAAAAGGCGCGCGCGATCGAACGAGGATTACGTAGAACGTCCTACAGCGATATTATTGATAACAATAATAATAATAATAATACAATAATAATACAATAACATAATAATAATTAATGATAATAATAACTAACGTACACACTATGTATACTCCTGTACAAGATTAAATTGCACAATGCATCTGATTTCCCGCGAACGCGAAGAGAGTACACCTAATTTAATAATAATAATAATAATAATAGTCGTAAGCGTTTGCTCCTCAAGGTAGCTCCACGAGAGAGTGATACCTGGCAGTAAAGGAAAACAGTTTCGTCGATCGAGCAGTCGACCGATTGTCGTAGACACTGAATGGGCTGTCTTCATTTCCTCGTGATGTGTGTGTATATATATATATATATACGTGTGTGTGTGTGTGTGTGTGTGTGTGTGTGTGTGTGTGTGTGTGGTGTGGATGGTTAAATGTATGTGTGTATCCGTGTTACGAAGAGCTTAACGAACTACGCAATAATTGTCAGTGAGTCACAAACAACGAATACTTTTTCCTCTTTCTTTTCATTCTTCTTCCTTTACGCGCGTGATCGCGCCAAACTCGTAAACATGGAATTATCGTAAATCACATTTCTCGGACGTTGGCCGAATATCTCTTAATCGTTAAAAACGAGGGTTCACTGAAAAATGATTTTCCCTTGTTCCTTTCTCTCTTCTCTCTTTTATTCCCCTTTCCTCGCGGTAACTCTTCGTCGTTTGGGTCTCCGTCTCACGCGCGAGCGTCAACGTATAAAAATATTAATACTAAAACATTTTTCTTTTCCATTTAAAACTAAACTCAACTCACTTAGTCGACGGTTATTTTACGAGATATCGCTTTATATATCGTGATGTGTAACCTCCCCCCCTGTGTTTCGATCTTCGAATATTCCGTTATTATTCGAGGCTCGAGTATATTTCTTTTTCCTTTATTTTCTTCTGTTTCGTGATATCAACAGGACATATCACACGCTTGTTACGATGGCTCGAAACTCTTGAGAGACGTATTTTCTTTTTTTCTTTTTCTCTTTCGTTTATGTATACAACGATGCCAGGTGACACTGATGAGCTAGCTTGATTGCAAAATGGTGTTTACACGTCTAAGGGTATGTTCACACGCGCGCTCGCAGTGTCCATTGGAATTATACAGCTTGGGGGCGGGGGAGGGGAAGAGTCGCGAAGGTCGGCAGCCGTAGGTCTCGACGCGATCATAAAGGACTCGCACAGGAATCCGCGTTGTGCATTTGCGCGACACACGCGTGTCACGCGAACAATCATGGCCGATCGTTGAAATGTATAGCCGCGCGCGACGGAGACGCGCGATGATCTCGCGTCCGCCATGCCGCGCATCCTCGCACATTCCCGCTTCGGGAAAGCTACGTGATACGTCGCGCACGTCGTGCGAAAACGAATGGGAGAAACGGAAAACACGGGAAGGAAACGAGGCGAAATGTCGATTACGTACGAGACACACACGCGAATCGTCGGGTCAGAATTGCCTTCTGACCGGTACCTTCAGCGGACACACCGAGCGGACACACTGAGCATTTCTATAAAAAAGTCTTATCTACTATTATACAGCGTGATTTTGATTTTCACAGCGGCAAGCTTCCGAGGGGCAAACCTGCGACGGGCGGGGCGTCATATGTGGTTTGTGGCTTCAACGATAGATACTCAACGCGGAAAGACGGTCTCTCGCGCGCTGCACAATATATTTATTTATTTATTTATTTATTTATTCATTTACTTACTTAAGAATTTATATCGCACGCGAGAGAGAGGTTTTTCGACAATATTCCCGGGACAATAAGAGAACAGACGTCCCCCTTTTATACACGCGCGCACGCTCGCGTACTACAAACGTTCAAAGAGATCGTTCCGTCGGCGTTCCGAGGACGCGCACAGGGTGGTGGTATTGGTGGTGAAAACACGGTGTCGGGGGTGTCGGAGAAAGCGCCAAGAGCTGCTCGACTAGCACGGGTGTGAACGACCCTTAAGAAAAGAAATCGGCGAGCGACCCGTCTGCCGTCCTTCCGCGGCCGCGGACGGGTCACCCTATCACAATCTTCGTCGACGTCGTGGTGGCGCTCGCCGTTGCTCGCTGCAGCAGCAACGCACGCGGTAGTAACGCGGATGATGACGGAAGTGGCGGACTCGACGGGCCGGTATGTCCCGTCGGTGCGGCAACGGCGAGTGACGACACGACGCGGCAACGTCAAAGTAAACCACCGTCACCGATCGGCGAGTACCGCGCGCGCTCGCGTGCGCGTTCTGCCTTCGACTCGACTCTACTCGAGCGCGACGATACCCGGATATTCTTCCTCTTCTTCTGCTCCCCTTCCTTTGTTTTCCTCTTCTTCTTCTTCTTCTTCTTCTTCGGCTGCTTCCTCTTCTTCCTTTCTCCTCCGCTGTATTTTTTTTAGCTTTTTTCTTCGTTTTCTCGTTTAATTTTTTAGCCAGCCTCCACGTGAGGCCACCACACTGCACCTTCACCGATACCCGCACCACACTGTAGCACCTCAACACATTGCAATTGTCATGGCCTATGGAACCTGCAATCGAGCAGACAGAAAGGAGAGAGATTAGGTTCCGTGGAGTCAGATCCGGCGAGAGATAGATCGAACGAGATTGGAAAGCTCACAGACGAAAATATCATTACGCTGGCAAATAGAACGACTGCTCTCACTCGAACTTCCCTTTTTTAAATAATATCGGGGGTTATTTTTTATCTTGAATCTCCTTCAAATAGTTTTATTGAAAGTTAATACAGAGAGCACAGCGACCGTCTTTCCGTCTTAATTTAATATTCTTCTTTCGATTTAATATTTTTGGTTGAACTGCTGAGTTTACTAGAACTTGTTCAAAATATATTCTGAACAAATTCAATGTCTCTCTTATAAACTCATGAAACACTTGAAACAAGCGATTTATAATCAAGCGTAAAAAATTGTGTATTTTTCTGCGCGTGCATCGTTGCGTGCGTGTAAACTTGTGATGAGAAACGCGACAGTACCTGGTGAGGTGTCGGCTGTCCTCGTGAACGGCCATCTCCGAACTCTTGAACTCGTTCAGCTCCTTCCTAATGGCAGCCTTGTCCTTCGGAGTTAACCGCGTCCAGGGCTTGTCGGCCCGTCTATCGTAGTCGTGAGCCTGCGTCACCTCGATATAGTCGTTGAACCTGATAATCTGCGGGAGAGCAAAGCGGAGGCTATGTATTGACTTTCGTTTTTTATAGCTTCGTGCCCGTAAGCTGTTAAGTCTTGATCAGAGGGGTGAAAAATAGCGTCACGGTAAAAATGAGACACGAGAAAATATCGGACTTGGACACTCGCCGGTATACTTATTATTCCCCTTTCTTTGTTTCTCATATTTTCAACCTCTCGATACGCGGTAAACTTCCCTAAAATGCGCTATCTCGAAACGTTAAAAGTACATTAAACAGGGCGCGACACGAAAAGTCCGTCAAGATTTACGAAGAAACTTTCTCCCCTTCCTCTTTTATTCTTCTTTTTTTTTTATTTCCCAACCCCTTTCTTTCTCGCGCTTAATCACCTTCTTCTCCTTGAGCTCTTCGACAGTCGGTCGGAAACTGAGCTTCCGCAGGAGGTAGCGTTTCTTCTCTTCCTTCTGCTTCTTCTCCTCGGCGGGACTTTGCTCTGGAAAAGGAGAGCGTCGTACCTTCTCTTTTAATCTCACTCCAGCTGATCTGGCGAAGCGCGCGGATTTAATTACGAGTTGCCTCGGAAAACATGTCATTATCAATCTCTCATTCTTCGAGAATGTATATTGTCAATTTCTACGGATCTTTATGTATTATCTTTATTTATAAATTTTCGCACGTCTCCACCGATATCACATCCAAAGTGCAAAGACAAATCACGAGCGGTCAGTTTTGTTATTCTTTTTTCGATGTGATAATTCCGCTTTAATGTGTCGATCTCCGGATCTTCGCGTTCGTTTCGCGATCGAAGCGCTCGCGCGAGCTAATGACTGGACGGACTTACTTTTCAGAATGTTCCTCTCTTCGAGCTCCTCTTGGGTCGGCCGCATGCTCAACCGCCTGAAATCAGAATGGTACGTGAATCAGTGTAAGTTCGTTGGCTACTTTAATCTTCTTTCGTCGGTGACGAGGGATTTAAGGGAGGTTGCGAGAGAGAGAAAGAGGGAGAGAGAGAGAGAGAGAGAGAGAGAGAGAGAGAGAGAGAAAGACCCACCGCACGGTGTGCAAACAAGTGATTCACCGCAGTGAACACTCGTCCCATTATCCCGTGTAATCTTTGCGAGAGACAGCTGTTATTTCAAGCTCGATTTCAGGCGAGCTCGATCGCTCTCGGTCGTGGCGGATTGATATCGGCAAAAAGCGAGGGGGGTGGAACGGATTTTTCCGGAATTAGAATCCAACTATGTATATGCTTCGTTATTATCGAAAGATGTTTCAACGGCGAATTCTTTTCAAATCCGCGACGAGTTTATATTAATTCTTTGACGGCCGCGTTTACACCGCGGAAAAATTTCCATCCGTTGCCGGCAGATTTCGAGAACTCGCTTAGACCGTGTCTAAATGGGCAAAAACTCACTCCCTTTGTACATAAATTGGAGTGAATTCTCCCAGAATTGAAATGCGAGTACGCGTATGTTATTACTGAAATTTTATTCCAACGGCGGATCTTTCCAGAAATCCGTAATGAATAGACATCAGCGATTTGACTCATCGCAGATGTCGCGGAAAAATATCCATCCGCCGGCGAAAGATGCCGAAAGAACGCGCTTGAATCGTATTTCAAGGGACGATCGTGACAGTTCATTATCCATGAAAATCCGCGCTCTTTGTGTATTCCCAATATCACAATTACAAACTGCTATCGCCGACGAATACTTTTTTTTAACAAAGCGATAACTACCGGCAGAAAAATCGCGTATACGTGATAACGTCAAAATGTCGAGAGAGCTTCAACTCGTTGACTCCACTCCGACGCTCCGGGATTTCACCTCGACGTTTGCCTCGCAATAAATATCAATCTGGCAAATACGATCGACAGTGCGATCGTCAGCAAAGAAAGCCGCGCAATTATTGCCCGATCGCCGCGGCACGCATCGCGTATCTTTACTCACCACGATGATCGAACAAGAGCGAGTGATTCGAGCCGAGCGATGCCGCGGATTCGTTACGACGTGCCAATCCCGCGGCTTCTCTCAGATATATCCGCTCGACGAAAATAGAGACGAGTAATAATGCGAAATCCGTTTACCCGACCGACGGCGATTGTACTCGGCGCGTTTGATAGACTAGCGTGCAATTACTAGCCTCACCTGATAAGCTTGGCACCGATGGCCTCCTTCGTCTCCTGCCTCTCATTGTCCGTCTGCAGCTGAAGGATGTTCCTGTTGATGAGCTCCTGTCTGTCTGGCCTGAGGGCGAGCTTCAGCGACAGCGATTCCTTGCGCGCGATCTTGGCTGCCAAGCGGCCTGTCGGGACAGAAGATGTCGAACAGTTCGGTTAGCTCGCGAGATCACTATTCTGATTAGCGCACATCTGCATGCGCGCGCGCGCGCGGGATAAATTGCGCGTCTCCCGACGGAAGTCAGAAATTGAGTCGAAGAGAGAATACGTCTCTCGGTAGAAAGCGAAAATGAAACAAAAGTACAAATTAAAGGCTCCGCTATGAAGTCGAGGTGAGGTCTAAGATTCCGCGGGACGAGTCGTACTTTGGACGTATAACGAAATGTTTCCAATTCTCAAGTTAAAATGATGTTACACGTGACGCTCAAACACTGAGAGAGAGAGAGAGAATATAAAAATAATACAAAGTAATTTATTCGGTGGGTACTAATAATATCCTTACTTATTATATCAACGTACATGTTTTTACACCGAAATTTCTCTCAAACGGGAAAATACGCATCTTCCAGAGAGCGCAAAACGATCGCTCGTCCTATTTAAATAAAAGAGCGTAGACTTGTGTAAATACGCTATCAGCATGCTGAATTCTTTCACTTAAATAACATGAGCATCGCTCTCGAGAAAATGGATATTTCCTCGTCTGAAAAAAAAAAACTTCCTCAGTATAAAAATATGTACAAGTCAATACAAGTAAATACGTTATTAAAATCCACCGAGAATCCTTCTACTCTTTAGATATCTTTCTTTCTCAGTGCACAAAAAGAAAAGACCAAAGTGGAAAGGCGTATTGGCTCTTTGCTCGGGTTTAAAGGCCCCCGAGATCGTCGCGCCGCGTCACGTCGTGTCCACGCTACTGTCAACGTCGATCAGTCTCGCCGAGCTCGACCGCTAATTACTAGTGTCGCGATTACTAATTACCCTCGACGATCGGCGAGCAGCTGAAGCTGCGATAGAGCAGCGGGGCGTGTTCGACTGGCTCGATCGCGGCGCAGGCAATCGACAGCGTCGACGCGGTCCATATCGACAGCATCGTGTCATCGCTCTCTCTGTCCCTCTCTCTCTTTCTTTCTTTCAGCTTCCCTCTCTTTTCCTCTTCCTCCTTCTCTCACTCTCTCTCTCTCTCTCTCTCTCTCTCTCTCTCTCTTTTCGGTGGACACGAAATCGAGCGAAGAGGCGTTCCGTGGCAAAGACAAGTCGGCACATATAGCTTGCGCACTCCGGCGATATTAATTATCGTTAATCATCTCGCGCTGACCGTTCTCCGGCGCGGAATAAACGCGCGCTTCGAGAAATGACCGCCGATCAAACGACGCGACTCGCGTGAACTTTCGCCTTTCTTTCGAGTGACTCAACGACGACTAGTCGGCCGTCCACGTGGATGGAGAAAAAGATTTCGCGAGCGGGAAGCCTCGCGACGAATCGAGACTAAAGAACGACCGGGACTGAGCGACATGCCAGCTATCTTCGGGGATTAATATAAACCTTCTAGTGTCCGCTCTGTCGTCCTCTCTCACACATACGCGCGCGGCACGTATACACGCATACGCGCGACCCAACGCGAGAATATAATTAGTTCGGTCGCTGAAGGCTGATTTAAAGTGTTGGGCAATCGCGCAAATGCCTCTCGCTGGGAAAACCGACGCGCGACTCTTCCGTCCGTCGAGAGACACCTAATCCGCGAATGCTGGCGATTAAGTCCGGCTGAGGGGTCGTTTTCTTCCCTCACGCACACCAGGGATACACCGCGGAATCGCTCTCTCCTCACGAATCACGTCTCGGTCGTGTCCGCTGATGTCATTCCGCTTCCGTGAGCGATTCGATAAGAATAGAAAAAAAAAGAAGGAAAAGGAAAAAAAGAGGCAGGAAAAAGAGGGAATGAAAAAGAGACATTTGACGATCGGGCGGATTTTCATTATCCGGTGTTGGCGGTCGAGTCCGTTGTGCAATATCGCGAAACCCGTGCCCGGTCGGAGGCGTCCCTCGCGAATATTTTTTCGCCCCAAATGCGAAAAACGCGCGCGAGCCGTTCCGAGGTCCTCGGACGAGCGTTTTATATCGCTTATCTGGCGCTGGCACCTCGAAAGTTCCCATCCCGCTGAATTTTCTTCGACCTTCGCGAATGTTTGAAGCTCGTCGTCCTTCGCCAACTTCTCTCTCCCGTGCTTTTCTTTTATTTCTGCGCGCGGCCAACTTTTTCTGGCACCTGCGGCCTTTTTCCCAACTGTCCGTGTGTATGTGCTCCCGTGATGTAGAACGATCTTTCTCTCCTTTCGGCGGAAAAAGAGGAAGAGACAGAGAGAAGAAGAGCGAGAGCGACAGAGAGAGAGAGAGAGAGAGAGAGAGAGAGAGAGAAGGATGACGAAGGAGAAGGAGAACGAGGTGCCATAAGCGTTATCGCGAATACTCGTTGCCGAACTATTTGTGAATTCATTCGAAAGTCCATTCACCAAACACAAGAGAGAGAGAGAGAGAAATAGAAAACTCGAAAGCTCATATCTCAGGGGAAAATTGCGAGCGGGGGCGTGAAATAAACATAACCCTGCGCATCACGTGCGAGATGCGTCTCTCTCTCTCTCTCTCTCTCTCTCTCTCTCTCTCTCTCTCTCTCTCTCTCTCTCTCTCCTTCTCTCTTTTCCTCTCTGTGTCGTTGCCGCACGCTCGTGCACGTGACCGTGCATTTTTATCATCGCTCACGCAAAGCATGCGAGCGAGAACGCGAGATTCAAGCGTCTGACTGCGGCGGAATTTTAATGCCGGCTCTCGGGAGCCGCATATTTATTTTCACGGAGAGATGATTGATTTGCCCTCCGACGCGATACCGAGCGCTGCGGTACTTCGCTATAATGCGACGTGTCGAAACGACCGTGTCGAAATTTCGATGAAGCGAAATGAAGTTACACTTGCGCTATTTGTTTAATCGATTGCCGAGGGGCAATCGACGGCAGCGACGGCGGCGGCGGCGGCGATAGCAAAACGTTGCAGGGAGCTGCAAAAATTCAACCGCGAGAATCATTTTTCATCTGACGACCTGCGAGACCACGGTCGCAATAAATATCGCTCACTTGTTAAGTCCCCCGTCCGACGTGCGATTTATACGGGCCGGCTTGCGGAGAGATGCGCGTGATGCACGATTAATATTTATTAGTTACAAATTAAACGCGATCAATCCTTAAGCGCGATGGTCACGATTGAACTCCCCCGCGGGCGGCTCGTCTATGAAATTTTATATCCATCTTATTTCACACGCGCGCACATACAATTTTTCTCCCTCTCCAATGACCCAGACAGATAGCTGCACAAAAATAAATCTGGCAGAAACTTTGCTAGTTGAAGCCTGTATCTCTTGCGAATACTTCATACGACATTCATAATAATCGCATAAATTGACAAAGTAGGAATACGCCAGAAGTGGGACAGAGATGACGAAACTCTATCACGTAAAACACATAAATCTGAGAATAACTCTACGAGTTTTGGAACTTTTAACCTTTCCAAACCTCTTTCGTTTCTTATTTCTTAACTCTTCATTTTATTACGCTTTGTTGTCGCAACGATTTAACGGAAGATTTATGTCAGTTAAGAGCAACTTAACTGTGACGTGAATTTAACGGGATTAATTCACTACAATATATTTTTCCCATGAATGAACCTACAAACTTCGTGAACTTTCCACGATTGATCCTCTCATTTCCGTCTCACGTCGCGACGATCATGAAAATCTGAGATTCTTTTTCCCGACTTCGTTTCTGATATCGGTAATATCTAGCGTGCTCTCGCGAGTGGCTCTCGAAACCGACGAGCGATCGGATAACAAAGACGCAGCTGAAGCGCGACGATGCGTCGGCCTCGAGCCAAGAGCCGTGTTTACGGGCAGGAAATCAGGGAGAATCAATAATCGGAGGTAGCTCTGACTTACTCTTCTCGTCGTCGTAGTCTTCCCTGTAGAGGACCTGTCCGTCGCCGGAATCGCCGTCCACATCCTCCCGGATGACATACGGCCTCGCGTTCTCCTTGTTCTCCAGCGTGCACGGCAGAGCGAGGCCGAATCTGACCGGTCGGCTGCTGAAAGAACGAGGAACATGGCGGTCGTTATTAGGTCGGCCCTCCCTCTTGTCAGAAGCATCGTCGAATGCCGTGTTGGCCGACGAGCTGCTACATGAACCAATGTTTCTACTCTCTACGTGGTGCTACACGAGAACGAGATATGCGAATGGGAAATGCCGCGCGCATGACGGTGTGGAGAGAAAGAGAAAAAGAGAGAGAGAGAGAGAGAGAGAGAGAGAGAGAGAGAGAGAGAAAGGGAGATGCACTGATGTGACGACGTCAGGGAGAGTGAAGGAAGACAGCACGTGGCGCACACGTCACGTGCGAAACGACAAATCCGGCGGATCTCGCGCGTCCGCCAAGTGCTCGAGCAAGTTCGTTCGGCTGTGTTCGACACGTTCAACACGTCGCGCGACACGTGAACTTTGCGCGTGGTCGCCGACGCGACTGCGGAATAACAACAATTACGGCGACACTCGTATCGCGCGCGTGTTCCAATTATTACGTCACTGCGACATCGGCGAGAAGAAGAGAGAGAGACAGAGAGAGGGATCGCGATGCAATAATAACGTTACGTCACTACGTTACACGTACGGCGAGAAATGACAGATGACGGCGCGATTATTCGTGGGTTAAGTACGAACTCGGAGTGTTCAATGCGGCTGGGTCGCTCCGTCTCTCTCACCGCGAATTTTTCAGCTTTCCCGAAGCTCGGCTCGCGGTCGGATAGTCGCGGTATATTTTCTCTCTCCGAGCGACTTGAGAGACAGAGAGAGAGAGAGAGGGCGGGAGGAGGCGGGAGATCGCAAACACTTTGCGAATCTTTAACGAGAACCGGTCGTGACGTCGCCGGTCTTGAGTGTGTACACAGTCTTGACAAGAAATTAAGGTCTTTCCTCTACTTTCCCGCTTCTTTCTCTTTTATTATTCTCCCTTTTTTTCCCCGCGGCGGTTTACCAACCGGGAACTGAGCGCCACCCCGGCGGCGGTAACGATCTCGAAGGCTCATCGAGGCTGCCGATCCTTTCCCTTCCACGGCTCGCTCCTTCCGCGTTTCCGGGGATCGTTAATAACGTGAGTTATTGCGGAATGCTCGGTGAGAATTTGGAGAAATCCGAAGCGCGAGAGCTATGCGCTTCTTATGTTTTCCCGGTCTGACTTTTGGAATATAGTCTACGGGCTCTTATTTCCTTACTTCTTCTCTCGAGCGGTGCGTGACGTCAGAAGCGAGGTCTGCCTCGGGCCAAATATTTTCAAAGCATATATTCTCCAACGTTTAGAAGCCGGCGAGCTTGAAGCGTCAAAGCTGCGGTAATGCGGTACGGGACACAGAAAAAAGAAATGGGAGAGAGGAAAACACCGGCAAGATTGCCAACTCGTATGATAACGTGCTCGAAATTGCCAACCGGCGCACATCGAATATCCAAAAATTCTCGACATTAATACAAAAAAAAAAAAGGATACAAAGAGACATCGGCTGTGCCTGATAATTGCAACGGGGATCGATTCAGTCGTTTTTCATCCAGTCGTCATTACAATTCGTTTTTTTTTCTTTTTTGGCTCCGAACGTCATTGCGAGCGGAACTGAAATACATCGCGTGATCGTTGAAAATAATCGCGCAATAATTTGTATTAATCGTCGAAAACACGCGCATCCTACTCGCAACATTGCCGAGTCCGTTTTTCCGGGAAGATCACGCTGCAAGAGCCGGAGAAATTGCGCGACACACAAGAGAGAAAAACAACGATAAAATATGCGTTTTAATGACAACAAGTTAATTAGTCGCGCGCGTAAGCATGTGGATATGTGCGCGCATCGAAGAGATGCGGTATTCAAAAATAAGGTCAAAAATACATCGAAATACGAATTATTATAGTTATTAATATTTGCAAAAGGCTGCACATCGCATCCATGTGGATTACATTGTAACGAGGAACACGATATCAAATCGCGCAGAGTAATCGATACCGAGGGCAGATATCCGGCCGAAATCGCGGATGTACGCGTATTCACAACGTGGCGGGCAGGGGAGCGAGGGAACGGAAGGGTCAGGTCACCTGAGACTCAATTAAACGTCGCCGCGCTCGTCGTCGCGACCCTGCGTCTCCGAGACACGACGCGATACCATGGATGATCCGAGGTGATGGATTCGCGATCGATCGATCGATCAGACGATAAAGAAACAGCGACGATTTAGCGCTCGCGGGCGCGGGAGGTATTCCCCTCATGTGCGTCGTGCGTGATGGAACGGTGCGGCGTGATAAGCGTGAAGGCGAGAGAGTGAGAGAGAGAGAGAGAGAGAGAAGAAAGAGAGAAAGAGAGAGAGAGAGAGAGAAGTTTATCATAAATGGCTTTCCCTAAGGTTTTCTCATGCTTAAGGTTGGACGTTACATTACATGCTCACGGCGCTCGTGACGGAGACTGTGAGGGTGAAAAAATCAACGTGGAACGGAGACAGACAGACAGATATAGACAGACAGACAGACAGACAGACAGACAGACAGACAAACAGACAGACAGACAGACAGACAGACAGACAGACAGACAGATAGCAGATAGCAGACAGACAGAAACGAAGAGAAAAGGAGAGAGGAAGGGAGGGAGAGCGAAAAAGAAAATAGAGAAAGAGGAAAGAGGGAAAAGACAGACGAGGAGAGAGAAAGAGAGAGAGAGAGAGAGAGTAAAAATTGGAACATCTCTGTTCTCTCACGATCAACCGCGCCGTGGACGCAAAAGAGACAATATATACGTATACATAAATGTATATATATACACCATCGGTTCGCACATGCTTAGTTAAAGACCAATGTCCAATTACCATATTCTCATCCTAGGCCTCAACGGTGGCCTTCTGGGTTAAGCATAAGAAAAATACGATATACGCTTTTACTAGTGACTGACATGTTAATGGCGGGTGCACACGAAGTACATTCACATGATCTCGCCTGGCAGGCACGTTTCCCCTCAATGTCCGTCTCGCATCTTGGATCTTACGCGAGTAACGAGTACGACCGGCTCGCTCGGCGTGTGATTCGTCTCTCGCGTTTTCTTTCCTTCCTTTCCTCCCTTTGTTGTTCTTTTGCTTTTCGTAACGAGGTCGCGACATTGCAATCGTGCAATAAAACTCGCGAGACCGGGGACGGAACCTCGCGTTTTCAGGCTCGTGAGACAGACAGACGGATAGAGAGAGAGAGAGAGAGAGAGAGAGAGAGAGAGAGAAAGTTTACCACGAAATTGGCCTGATCGAACTAGACTTCTCGTCGGATATCCGTGGATCTCGGCGAATTCGGGTCGAATCCGTCGTTCGAGAGAGACGATCACTCGTCCGAACGACTGCGAAGATGCAAGATGCAAGAGCTACTATTAAGCAGCGAGACGGGAAATTAAAGGACTACGTTCGCAACAAATTAGGGCCGCTCCTCGACATCCGCTTTTTACCCCGTTCGAGCGTATGATGATACGTACGGAGACGATCGGTATATGCGCTTGAAGCCCTCCCGCTTCCGTCGCCTCCTCGCACTGAAGGAGACGTTCCAGTGGCTTTCGATATCAAAAGACGAGAGACGTCGCCGGGCTCGCGAGCACGCGAGGAGGCTCGGAGAACGCGCATTTTTAATTAAAGAAAAGTCGACGTAAAAAGCGGATTATCCCGGCAGATTTGCGCCTGGTGGCTCTCGAAGAGCGCCCGATTGTTACGGCGAGTTTCGAATTTCAGCGCGCGAAGCGTTCCGGGAGAGAGCCGGCGGCCGGAGAGAGGAGAGAACGCCTCTCTCTCATTCGCGTTTACCCCGCGCTTCTTTCCCCAATTAGCATTGCAATCTTACACGCTGATCCGGTGTAACTCGAGCGCGGAGTCCTCTTCGCGATCGCAATAACATTGCGACGCGAGGGACACGCGATAAAAAAGGAAACAAAGCACGATGCATTTTAAAATTGAAAAATTCGGGAAACAGAGAGGATTCGTAATTTTCCGGGCTGCGTCGGGAGCACAAAGTGCTCCGGATTCAGATCTCGAATCTTCGATCGCGGTCGTCTCTTCGCCTCGAGTTAATCGCTACGAATGTTATTCTCGAGATTGAGACCAGACGAGCCGATAATTCCGAGATTATTTCGCGAGCTCTTCCGCCGCGAACGCTTCGCGTCCGTCGACGGTTATACCCCCAGCATCTGCGAGTCGTCCGCATCGAGACTCGCGGAGGCACTAACTTGAACGAGGCGTGGAGCTCTTGGCGAAGCGTCAGCGGCCTGTTTTCCTGCGTCGGCGTGTTCTGCGGCGTGCCGGGCCCGCTGCCGGAGCCCCGCTTCTTCAGGACGCTCTTCAGCGGTACGGCGTGGAACTTGGGCTCCTTCGCCGGAATCTCTTCGACACGCGACGTGTCGATCGCCGGATCCGGCTGGGACACCCTGAAGACGTACATGTTGTCGTCCTCCTCCTCCACGTCGATGTCTTCCTCATCTGTGCGGGCAAAGAACGTGCGAGAGAAGGTGAGAGGGAGTCTCTGAAGAGCCGTGACGATCGTTCGTTTCCTTGCGTCTTGCTCGTTAATGCGCACTGAACGCGACCCCACACACCCGCGTATTCGAAGAAAATTAATATATTTATTAATTACGGCTATTTTTTCCATAATTATTACCAGGAAAAGTATTCTACCGTTTGAAAAAAGCGACTGCTCAGTCCACCTCCTTTCTTTTATGCAACGCTTACGTTCGACGAAGAATATTTTCTTGGTAATAGCCCTGAAATATACTCACGAAGAACGGGGAAGCTCATTTTCATGCGCTCAGAAGAGGGATTTATCCTCTCTTGAAGAATATGTCGAAGTATTATACTCTATATGGGAAGCAAATCGAACTTTTGCTTTAATATTCTTCATCATAGGGTGAACTTGTGATGGACTCGCGGATACACAAACTCACAAAATATCTGTGCCATTTAAGAGTGCAGTACATATTTTTCTATGCGCGCACCTTGAAGACTTTATTTCCGAGAAAGGAAGATGATGTTCGGATCTTTGAAAGAGAGCTTCACTCCAGCAGAAAAAAAGCGTGGCTTAAGAGGCCATGTAATTTCGCCATGTAAATTTTTCTCCTCCATTTTATTCTCCTTACACCTTCGATCTTCGATATTCGATAGAGGTGTGGCGATGAGGTGGTGACAGGTATTTTTATCATTAATTATCTTCACGCGCGGAAATTCGAGCGCCGCGCAAGTTGGACGAACGTGAACGCGCGGACGTTAGATCGCTCTTTCCGATTTACACGGTTACACGCAGCGGCCGACGTAAAATCGTAACGTTCGCAGTCAATAATCAGCCACGCGTCACGAAGGCAAGTGCATTAATATACCGCGGAATCGCGGTCGTCAATTAGCGCGGGACGATAATTAACGACAAAATTAAATTCCCGCTAATGAGATAAACAGCGCTAAATAATTCCGCGATAATACGCGCGCCGTTGCGCCGGGCCCGTAATTTTATAACCTTACATATCGCAATATTGAAAATCGGAATAATGGGGGCGCACCATGAGGATGAGGATGGGGGAGGGGCAGCGGCAGAAGACGCGCGCGTGCTAGCATCGTATTGTTTGCGGCGGGACCGTGGTGCATTTAGGGCCGAGCATCAAAATGACCCGCCGTCGCGGCTGAGAATTAATGATCCGCTAGGAACACTTACCCTCGTCCTCGCAATCCGAGAGCGGAATCTGCCGTTGTCTCGCCAGCAAAGTGGGGCTCGGTGAGCTGAACATCGGCGGGGGCGGAATCGGGCCGATTTCGCTCAACGGGATCGGCGGTTCTGGCAGTTCCGACAGCATCAGGGTATTCTGAGGCGGTAATGGGTAACACCTCTCGATTACCTGCTGATTGTCGGCGCTCTGGTCCAGCACCCCCTTCTCCACTGCAAGCAGAAAGAGGACGCGCTTTTAGACGACATGCACGACGCGACGACGACGTGTCGTCCTTCTCAAGGAGAGTCGCACCGAAAACACACATACACACACTCTCCTCCTCCCCCCCCCTCTCACTCTCTCTCTCTCTCTCTGTCTATTTCTCTTGCGCGCACGTGCATTATTGTTATCCTGTTAAATTAATTTCGCTCTGTTTATACTCGCCCCGTCGAGTTATAATTAAGTTTCACTCACGTCGGTGTTTCTAACTTGAAAGAAGTTGCATTACGCAATATTGAATCATCTTTATCACAAGATAAATTTCACGATGTTACCGAGGAGATCAGGAGGGGAGACCGGGGAGGGGAAATAAAGAGATAAAGAGAGAGGAGACGAAAGAGAGAAAGAGAGAAAGAGAGAGATGATTATTTCCTCTCAATCTTCGCAGAAGCACGGGAGAGCGCAACGAGGTGCGACTCATCATTGTTACGTCGCACGGAACGATCCGCGGAATCTGCGTCGAAGTAAGAACACGATCGAAAGAAGAACGCGGCGCGTTTGATGGAATCGCTCGTTCCGGGAAACGTGATTCATCGCGCTGCAGGAACAACAATATCTTGGCAAAGGCGACAAATGCAGTTCGAAGCTCGCCCGCTCGGCCGGTTGCAGCTGCAGTTGGCGAGACTCGCGAAACGTCGTTCGCGACGGTGATTGCATACACGTGCGCGCGCGCGAGAGAGAGAGAGAGAGAGAGAGAGAGAGAAAAAGAGGCTTCCTCGAATTTGTTTATTATTAAATCCCACCGACCGCGCGCGCTCGCGAGAATGCCGAACGGAATTTTTAATCCCGCGTGCTGCCCCGCAGCGAGCGTTTTCCTTCTTTGCTTCTTTTGTTTTCGTCTTTTTTTCTTCCCCTTCTTTCTCCCTTTTTTTGCAAAATTTCATTTCCCCGCCCCGGCATCGGGGCAGGGAGCCAAAGGGGAACGTATTTTTTGCGGATAACGAGCCGGCCGGGTCACGCGTATCGGTTTCGGCCGGAATGTTAAATAACTTGGCAGATGCGCTCGCTGGCTCGCTCGCTCCCGCCCTCCTCCTCTCTCTCTCGTGCTGGCCATTTGATAACGTCGCGCACCTAAATTCTGACACAAAAGGACGAAGTTCCGACGAGATACTTCGGCTACCACGCATAACCCGCTGCCTTCCCCGTCGCGCTTGATCGCGGCCACATATTTGAACATATTTGATTCCTTCCCTCTTCCCATCCCCCTCCCGGGCCCCGGTCGAAATTTATCGTACGCGAGCAAGGTGACTGCGCGAGAGAGAGAGAGAGAGAGAGAGAGAGAATTTTAAGTGCACGTGAGTTGATTCTGTCGCTGCGAGCTCGCGACGTGAGCGGCAAATCTATCGGGGAGCGATCAATCTGGACAAGTCGCGCGAATAAGCACATCGGACGGCTTATTCGGCGGATAGGATTGGGGGTGTAGGGTGTGCCGAGCGAACTTTCGCATTTTTCGCCGATGATCAGTTAAGACTGTCGACGACGGCGCGCGAAGGATGAAGATTAAATGGGGGAAGCTTTATTGCCGCGAGCGTGCGTCGGTCGAAACGGCGTTATCGATTCGATGTCGTGACGTGGTCGTGTAATGCAGATTACGGATTACGTCGAATGTTTCATGCTGACTAATGAATCGTTTGTAATTTAACGACCATTTTACGTACGCGGCTGTAAATATGACGCGCACGGTTGTGTACGTGTGTGTATATGCGTATTTGCAGCCAAGCTTGTTCACTTTTTTAGGGAGAGAGAAAGGAAGTCTCAGAGAGATTCTAATAAACGTTATTAAAAGATGTAAATGTTGCCGGAGATAAATAGAGGAGTGGGCGTCGTCAAAGGGGGCAACTAAATGCAATAACGAAACTTTCCGCGCTCATGTACCCTCAATGATTGCATAATCGCATTCGCGAAGCACTCGGATTCGCAGCGGCCGAGTTGCCGGGTAAAAAGACGCCATTATCGCTTGCGGACCGATGAGCCCGTCAAGTTGCGGGGAGGACCCTCGTTCGAAAGTTTGCGCGAGGGACTCCCGTAGCGATAAATGAATACACAGAGCCGAGTTTATGCCGGCCGCTAGGATGTACTCTTGTGAATCCTTCAGACACGGCTTTCCTTTTTCACGCAATTATCCACAAGTCCGCAACACGCAGCTGTAGCGAATATCGAAAATTCGCTGATTTATCAGGTGTAAGCGAGAGTTGTGTACTTTTTTAACTCACACGCTTCTACGTCGTCGACCGTCAGTGACCGAGAAGAAAGTGAACTAAGCAGACAAATTAACGCATTTAATTTATTCATATGCACAAAGTTTCATGTAGATGAATCTTTCAATCTCTTGAGACCGTCAACATGACACAAAAATGCATTTGCGACAATATACGCTCCACAAATTCCAAAATTTCACAACCTTCGATATGTTCCAGCAGTCAATGCAGCCTCTTCAAACACTTCATCTGAGTCTTTCGCTGCCTTCATCATCTCGCTCATTTATTGGCCTTTAACAACCTTGTAGAGTATGCAAAATGGCTCAAAAATGCAGTTTCTTTTGTCTTGCCAAGAGGGTCGAGAAGTTCCACGAAATTGACTTACTCACACACACACACACACACAAAAGTATGCATACAAGTAGCCAATCATGTGCTAATCTGCCTGTTCAAGGGGAAAGAGTCTCTTTCCGGCTAGGTCTCTCACTAACGATGTAAATCGATCGAGCATGCCATAATGTAACATCTTGAGTCAAAAGACACGGTCCATCGAGTCCTTCGTACTGATGTCACTTTAATGTCCTGTCGAAGAGCAAGGGAAATAACAACACAAATCATCAGCGCGAGCAGCCCTGCAAATCAATACAATCGGCTGGGCCAAGAGCTCCGCTCCGTCGAACGATTTAATCGCTGAAATGATTCTCGCCGTCTCTCCCCCCGACACTTCCTCCCAATCATCCCCATCTAGCTCTTCGCCATGAAGTCGCCCGAGCAGAAACCCGAGCGTGACCCGCGCGGCTCTCGTCGATATATCCCCGTCGGCATCGCCCTCGCCGGACTTTTCTCTCGGCAGGCGCGATCGATACGCGAGAGTGAGAGCGAGATAGATGGATAGAGAGAGAGAGAGAGAGAGAGAGCGAGAGCGAGAGAGAGTCACGCTAGTAGAGCAAGCAAGCACGACGATGCGGACGGCGGCCGGCTTTTTAGTGCGCGGTTAGAGCGAGCGCAAGGAAGCGTTACTCACTGTCGAACAAGATCAGCCTCCTGGCTGCCACCCTGGCCTCGAGGGTGTTCGGCCTGTTCGGCTTTTGCTGGTCCCCGGCATCCGGGACCGGGCCCGAGGCCGGCATCGGGCCGCTCGTGCCCAGATTAGCGGCCTGCGACTCGCCGCCGCCGCCGCCGCCGCCGCAACCACCGCCCCCGCCGCCGCCGCCGCAGCCACCACCGCTCGGCGATATCGCACCATTTGCACTCTGTTCAGTCTTATCCTTCTTCGGCTCTGCAACAGAAAAAAATTTCGGCACCGTCAGAGTGGCGTCGTCGTTACTGCGGCCTGACGATTCTATACACAGCCCTTGGCTCTCTCTCTCTCTCTCTCTCTCTCTCTTTTTCTCTCGATGTCGATTCTTTTCCATCTCTTTGTCCCTCCTTCTCTCTCTTTCTCTTCATCTCGATCTCGATCTCGTGCCTTTCGTTCTCGCGAATCTCGCGAGATAATGCGTTCGCTCGGAGAAAATGTCGTCGAGTCAGCTTGAAAAATATTCTCGTTTTGTCTTTCTCTTTCTTTCTCTCTCTCTCTCTCTCTCTCTCTCTCTCTTTCGTCCCGCTCTCTCTTCCTCTCTTTTTCTTACTTTCTTCTTCGCTTTCTCACTCACGAGTAAATAAATTTTTTGGTGGAATTGTTTTTGAAGGATCTACCGCAGAGATTCGCTTCTCACTCTCTTTCTCTGTCTCTCTCTCTCTCTGTCTCTCTGTCTCTCTTTCTCTGTCTCTCTCTCTCTCTCTCTCTCTCTCTCTCTCTCTCGGCGTATTTTCTGATCGATATGTTCGCCGTGATGACGTACCACCAGCCAAGTCTCTCGGGTCTCTGGTTGGTTCCGGCGGACTTAATTCTGTAAGTCAGAGCCGATCGAAGGCGATGCTATATACAGCTCGAGAGAGTCTCTCCCCGCAAAGGCCGCGGAGTAATGCTCGTTCCGCATGTGGTAACGGTGAATGATTAAACACGCTCGTTACGTGCCACCTGTACGTTTCATTAACGTTTGCTTAACTTCATTAAAAGTAAACAAGGGTCCGAATAATTCCATCGTCTCCTACGGTTGCGAACTAATTAAGAGTTTAACCACGAACAAAGTCGCTTTGATAAAATAATCCTCTCCATCTCTCCTTTTCACTCTCTCCCGTCCTCTCTCTCTCTCTCTCTCTCTCTCTCTTTCTCTCTTCAACGCGCGTCGGCATATTGTACATTTACGCGTGTATCACATAATTATATTTCATATATAATTATATACTTTATATTTTTTATCTTTATTTTTATCTCACATGTGTGCGTTTGTGTCACGCACATTCCTGTGCATTATATAATTATCCGCACAATTAATCAGAATAATTGGTATTATAATTGGTAGTATAATTCGTCTCGGCGTAAAAGTCAAAATATTAAAACCAATAATAGAAAGCACATAACTTTCTCTCTTATTGATCGGAGAGTATCCGCGCGAGAACGAGCGAAAAATCGGATCACGGTGAAGGGAACCAAGGAAAAGAGGGGAAAATAAAAAAGAAAGGAATGAAAGGTCCGCCGATGGCTCTCACGCGAGTTTTCAAATTACGTTTGTGTCTTCAGTCGGTGACCGAGCGAGCGGCGGCTGGCGGCCGTCGAAAAGCTGTCCGCCATTGCGATAGCTCGATACACGCTCGCGATGCCATCCATCGCGAAAAGGGATACGCCGATTTTCCAGGCCGGCCCGGACGGATCGCGCGAACGGAGCAAAAAGGTTTCGGCGCGCGCGTTACCCGTTATCGACACTGCCGGTCGCGGACACTGTCGGTTTTGCGTTATTCCGCGCTGCGGATTTTCCGAATTTGACACATTTCCGATTCGACGGCGATTAAAGGTAGCGCGAGGTGCTCAAAAATGCGCTTTGTACCGCCGCGGCGGTATCGATAAATCATTCGCCGCTGGATTTTCCGAAGCTGCTGCGCCAGCCGGATGTTACGCGAGGGTGGGAGAGAGGAAGAGAGAGAGAGAGAGAGAGAGAGAGAGAGAGAGAGAGAGAGAGAGAGAGAGAGAGAGAGAGAGAGAGAGAGAGAGAGAGAGAGAGAGAGGTTCATAACATCCCACGTGTGTATCGATTAATGTTCGAGTGTTTCGACGTTAATAATACAATGAATATCTCTGTTTTATCTCCCCGAATTTCCGGCGTTGCATCTTTCATCGAGGCGATTGGAAAAAAATACCGGTTACGACAAGAGAATAACAAAATGCCAAAACTGCGATCGCTTTGGCCGATTAATCATCGGCAAACTTGAAAGACGCTCATCCCGACGCGACGATTAATTTTGAGTAATCATGAAAAATCGCACGCGTACGCGCGCCGAGACGTGTCAACGGGAAGACGAAGCAGCCGCAGCGGCAGCGGCGGGTAGCTTGTCTTCTTGTTAATTTTCCACCGCCGGGGAAATTTATTATCGGGAACTAGAGATAACTCGCGCACAAATGTGTAATTAAAAATTTAATAAACTGCCCGGATTTTATCGCCATAATTCCATAATATGAATGTAGGACGACTCTTTCTCTCTCGCCACCCTCCCTTTTCTCTCCCTTCGTGTAAAAAGCGAACGTTGGAATATACATTTTTCGCTCATAACGCAGTGGCGGCGGCTTGGATTTTCGCGGCGGAAACGCGACACGCTCGAACGAAACTCGACGAGAGAGCGAGGGGGAGAGACGGGCGTTATCAATCGTCGCGCAAGATGGAGTACAATCGCGCGGTGATGCGCGCCGCTGAATGGCGAGATATCATTGGCTAACAAACCCCGTTAGATTGGAGGCGATCGTAATCAAAGGGTGCGGTCGGCACGGACACTGCGCGAGAGGACGCGCGACGATATGCTGTTTGATGTCGGGAATAGAACGTCACATGCCAAATGTACCGCGGAATATGTCGCGCACGAGCGAGAGACGAGCTCGAGAGGGACGGCAGAGCACACATATACTATGCCGATCAGTCGGGAATTGCAACCCCGAATTGTCCCGTTGTGTGGACACCGCGTATAATGGCACGTAAAATTAAACATATTGAAATTTACACTCGCAGCCAAATGCGTATCGACAGTCCGATGGAAAATTACGTGGTCGTGTGTCAAACGAAATTGAAGCACGGCGTGATCTCTCTCTCTCTCTCTCTCTCCCCCCCTCTCTCTCTCTCCGTCTTTCACCTTCCCTATCGATAATGCCGTAGGGCTGACAATTAGAATTAAGCGTGTGAAAAGACAAAAAATCTCCCGAAAGATCTCGTTCCCGTAAATTCGAACATATCGTCATATTGTCAGTTATCCTACGCCGACGATTGTTATTGCAAACGGTCACGTGAGTAAGCATATAATTATTATAATTACAGAAAGTAATTACTGTCCCCAAGCTGGGTCTTATTTCAGAATTATTCGACGTTCTTCCAAAATCAGTATTGTTTGTATTTGGAATTATTTCATAATTACATTCGGTATCATTTCAATTAGCATTATTTATATTCGGAACAATCTCTGAATTATTCAGTACGATATGTGTGCGCCAATAACAGCGTTTAATAATTCCGTACGTCAATAGATGACAGAAATTCGGATCCGGTGTGATGACAAAGCTGAAATGAAGACGTCGGCGTCGCGAGATCCATTTTGTTGAAATCTAAGGCCGGTGTGTTCACACAGTTGCCAATTATTTCCATTCCTCAATTGACAGCATGATTAGCATTTACGAACGTTCACTCGCGCCGCTGACCTCGCGCGATACGATGGGAGAAACGATGTCAATCAAACCTGTTAATTAACGCGCTGCCGAAACAAGAATCCGAGAGAATGGGGTAATATTTATTTTAAACGACCGGCGGCAAAACGATAACGGCCAGACATGTACGCTCGTCACTTGTCGGCCCGAGTCGTGAATATTCGGCGAAATTCGGGGGAAATGTACGCGCGACGATATCGAAACAATCGGCGAAAAGCGCAAGGTCACCCCGATCACTCGTAAGTCTGGAATGTTCCGGCACGAAAGCTTCGAAGAAAATCAAAACATCCCGGCCGGCGACCTCCGAGCGGTCGAACTTACCTGCGTGTGTCGCGCACTTGCGCCAATGTCTCTTCATTGTCCTCCGGGCCGGCGAGCGCGAAGTATCTCGCGGGTTCGCGCAATACGCAATCGGGCTCGCTTGCCGGCTTGTCGCGTTATTTAACACGGTTAATTTCACGTGTTTGATCGAATCGCATCTGCAGTGTGCCAGTGCCGTGAGAGGTTAGCCGAAGCGCCACGACGGGGAGCAGCCGGGACGGAGCAAGGATGCTGGGTCAGGAAGTCAGGACGAGGGCGCGGATGCCGGGACGAGGCCAGCGATGCATCATGTATATTGCCAGGGGTATGTCAATTATTTATTATAACCCGAGTCGAAATGTAGGCCGGCATTCATAATGCGTCATCATTCGGCAAGTACTTGTAACTTGTTGAATTATTCGTCGCGCTGACCTAACCTAACCTAACCTAACCTAACCTAGCCTAACCTGCGCATGCACTTATCTCATGCAACGATATATGTATATCGGATCAATCGAATGACAATCTGTGCGGACGAATCTGCAGTTAATCGCGCTTTCGCGAGCAAGTATGAAGCAAATAACTGATAACCATGAATACCGGCCTAAGAAACTGTTTGACATAAATCTTTCAAGTGCCGATTCGTGCGTCTAATAATGCTCCGTTGCTCGCGAGGTATCTGCAATCTGCCAACGTCTTCTCTCTTCAGACTTTTTTTCAACACTTGTTATTCTCCCGAGTCCGAATTTAAATCTCAATGGGAGCGCGGCATTATTGGATTCTCATATTGAATTATTGCCCCCTCGCAGGTCTTTTCTTTTCAGCTTTTTTGGATCTTACGGAGGTTCCCGATATTGATAAAAAAGAAGTTTGTGACAGTAAGATGTATGTTGTTTTTCCTACCCGCTAATCCCAATATTCATCCATATTAATTATTTAATATTCGCTTATCTCATTATGTACTATAAATTTTATTCGTTATATTGCATAGTTTTATTTCATCTCTTCTTATTTTACGTTTAACTGACTTATACGGTCGCATATCCTGTACAATCTGCAGTTATATAATTAAAATTGTTTATCGGAATTGAGAAGAAAGATTAATTAATAAATCCGCGTGGCATATTGAGATAAGCAGATATTAAATAATCTCAGAATAAATCTTGTGACGGTGATTTTTCGTTCTGCTCCTC